GACGGCGCCGCCTGGGCGGGGCGGGGCTGCCGCTGCCCGGGGGTTCAGGCTTGGGGCCCCGCTCCGAGTCGGCCCCGCCCGTGGACTTCTTCTTGCGCTTCCGTTTCTTGCGCTTCTTGGACTTCTCCCCGGGCTCGGCCCTGGAGCCCTTCTCCTCCGCGTCGGCCTTATGCCTGCGCTTGTGCTTGCCCGACTTCTTATGCTTCCTCTTCTTCTTGTGCCGGTGCGCCCTCCCGGGCCGTTCCTTCCGGCCCCCCAGGCTCCGCGCCACGTCCGGGGGCACCGGGCCGTGGCTGCCCCCCGGCTCGGGCCCTGTGGGGGCAGCAGCACACAGCCCCGTGTCTGTCTCGGGCTCGCCCGCGTCTCCACTGGGCGCTCCCGCCTCAGGGCCCGGGAGGGCGTCCCTGGCTCTTTCTGCCCCTCTGGGTCTGGCGTCCTTGTTCCTGGAGAGCTTGAAGTCAAAGTAGAGAGGGTTGCAGCTGTAGGAGACAGACGGCTCGGCCTTAGTGAAGATGAGCAGCTCTGACGGCCACTGCAGGGCCGTGCTCTCGTCCCTGCTCAGCACCGGAAAGAAGGGCCCGGTTGGGTGCCGGGGGCCCTCTTGGCTGTCCCTCCCTGAAGCGTTGGCCCCGGGTGCACAGGGTTCTTTGGTGGGCTCTGGCTCACACGGTTGCACCTCTGACGATCCAGGCGCACCCTGTTCCCCAGCGTACCCCAAAGAGATCTTCCTGACCTCAGCTCTGCCCCGGGGCTGGGTAGGCCCGGGCTCCACCAAGGCCTCCTCCTCTGTTTCCTTTGGTTCCGTGGGTGGTTCAGCGCCATCGCTGCGATCCTGCTCCACTGCCTGGCTGGGGGCCACCCTGGCAGAGCTCTTCAGCTTGGGAGAGCCACTCTTTTTGCTGTCTGGGGTGCCCTTGGGGTGCGTGCCGGCCTCGCCCTCCATCTGCTCACTGGCCCGCATGAACAGCAGGAAGGGGAAGTGGGGCTTCACCTTGCAGTGCGCTGGGGGGATGTAGTGGTAATACTCGGGCTCTGCAGCACCGGTGCCCTCCTCCCGGCGCATCCGCTTCAGCTTGGACAGTGTGGAGGCCAGGGCCCCGCTGTCCTGCGGGTCCTCGTCGTCCTTCTTGCCCTCGGTGTTCCCGCCCCCGTCGGCATCCCCAGCCTTCTGCAGCGCTTGGTCAGAACCTTTCTCATCGGGTTTTGCTCCTTCCTCAGAGGATCCTTCCTCTGCGTGGTCCTTGAAAACTGAAGCTATGGACTCGAGTTTGACGGGCGCCTTCTTGGCAAAAGAAAACGACACCCCCACTTTCTGCAGTGGGGTCCCCGGGTTGTTCTTAAAGCTGAAACTGATGCCGTGGGCAGCTGGCCCCAAAGCCTGTGGCAGCCCTGTGGAGCCTGTGCCTGGAACTGCAGTGAAGGGGCCCCCCTTCTCTGTGGAGAGCTCGGGGCCCAGGCTGCACCCTGTGGTGGTCCCTGAGCCGCTGCTGGTGGCCGACTCCTCCTTGTCCTCGTCTCCTGCTTCTTCATCCACAGCCACTGTGGTTGGTCGAAACATGGGGCCGCTCCCAGGTGCGCTGTCCAGTGGTTTAGAAAAGACAGGAAACAGGCTTAGGGGCACAGAACAGGGATGGCAGGCGGGCTCTGCCCACCTTGTGCTGACTGGCAGCTGCAGGGGCACATGAGCCACACCCCACGCTTAGGGTCACTGCCCCCACTGCTACTGCTGCCTGCAACAGGGAAATGGGCTCATCCCCCACACCAGCCTGACAGTCTGCCTCCACCTCCTCCTGCTGTTTCCTACTGAGGAGCCTTGCTTGCCCTGATGGGTGTGCAAAGGTACAGCTGCACATCTATCAACACATGTCCTATTTCATTCAGCTAAGAAAACCTCATTTTCCCTGTGCTGTCAAATTTATCTTTTTATTTTTGGGTTGTTTTGAGACAGGGTTTCACTATGTAGCCCAGGTTGGTCTTGAACTTGTGGCAATCTTCCTGCCTCAGCTTCTCAAGTGCAGGGATTACAGGTGTGTGCCAACCACACCTGGCTGAATTTCATTTGTAAAAAATGTACATATTCTGAATTAAACAGAGAAACCTTTACTGTATATTCCATGGCACTCTGCAGTTGGTATGAAAGTCCGTGCCTACTGCTGGGGTACAACCCCCAAACATGGACTTCAGTTCTGAGACAGAGGTTCTCTTTATCCGCAGGAGATGGCTCAAGAGTCCAGATGGCTGCCTGAAATCATGGAAGGTATCAAACCCTAGACTGTGTTTTTTGATGTATACACCTATGAAAAAGTGTATAATTTAGGCAAAAAATTAATAACAATAATAAAATATAATAGTTATATCTGGGCCTGGTGGTGCATGATTGTAATCAAGCTACTCAAGAGGCTGAGAAAGGAGGATTGCAAGTTCAAGTCCAGCCTGGACAACTTATCAAGACTCTGTCTCAGGCTGGGGACACAGCTCAGTGGCACAGTGCCTGCCTGGCAAGTATAAGGTCCTGAGTTCAATTCCTGGTCCAAAAAAAAAAAAAGACTGTCTCAAAATAAAAGGGGCTAAGGATGTAGGCTGGTGTTCTCTTGGAGTCAACCTTCAGAACTGCAGAACTGAGGCTGGGTGGGTGGGTTCTAACAGTACACTGCAGTAACAGTTATGTGACTGCAGTCTCTCTCTCTCTCTCTCTCTCTCTGGCCAGGCAGCATCCAGAGCATGAATCTGCTGGACGAAAGCATAATTCATGTCCCAAGCATTGTCAGAGTGGGACAATTCCAAATTCATCATACTCTTGTAATGACACACAATTTAAAGCTTAACAAATCTTTATTTCCGGAGTTTCCATTCAGTATTTTCTGGCCACAGATTCCTACAATAACCGAAACCTTGGGAAGGGAAACCCATAGCAACTGTTGTACTTTCTAGGCATAAGGAGCAATGCCACAATGCCATCAAGCTCTCTTCCAGCTTTGGCAACAGCAACCGGTGTCACTCGTGTGTTTTATTTTTATTTATTTTTATTTTTTTGGTTTTTTCCCGGTACCGGGAATCAAACTCACGACCTTGCGCTTGCCAGGCAGGTTCTGTGCCACTGAGCTAAATCCCCAGCCCCTCACTGGCGTGTTTTAATGCCCATGTTCTAACTACCCAGGTCACCTCAAATGTTCAGTGTGTAGACTACTGGGGGCCCCTGAATTCTGAAGTTGAGAACAAAGTAGAAGCCAGGCAGAGTATGCGCAGCTATGATTCCAGCTACTTCAAGTTTACCCTGGGCAATTTACTGAGATCTTCTCTCAAAAAAAAAAAAAAAAAATTGCTGGAGATGTTGCTTAGCATTTGAGCATTTGCCCAGCCTGCCCAAGACTATGGGTTCAATTCCCCCTACCACTACCACCACCAAAAAAACCAAGGTACCCATTTAGATAAAGACTGTGTCACTGGGTGTGGTGGCACACGCCAGTAATCCCAGCCCTCAGAAGGCTGAGGCAGGAGGGTCACTGCAAATTTGAGACCGCCTTGGCTACAAAGTGAGCTCAAGGCCAGTCTGAACTACATAGTGAGACCTTGTCTCAAAAAAAGATCTTGTCATCTGACCCCTTATTACTGAGGGACCTCACCCCAGGGGCCAAGAACACTCAGGTATGTACTGTCTCCAGCTGTATGAACTGTGCTACTAGGTGATGGGCGCCTATCCAATGTGGATAGCTAGAGAGAACTAACCCTACGCTATGAAGCCTACCCACAGAAAACACTGTCCTCCTTTTCAGTGGGAGGGGGATAGTACTAGAGATTCACCCAGGGCCTTCACACTGAGCTACATTTCTGCCCTTTTTCTTTTTGAGACAGGGTCTTGCTGTGTAGTTCAGGCTGACTTTGAACTCATTAAACAGCCCAGGGTGGTCTTGAAAGCACAGTGATCCTCCTGCCTCTGAGTGCTGGGATTACCAGTGTGTACTTCCACAGATGGTGAGAGAGGGTTTTGTTAAGCTGCACATTCTGGGTTTGAATTTGTGATCCTCCTGCCTTGGCTTTCCAAATAACTTGGATTACAGGCTTGTCTCATCACAACCAGCCAAAATAAAACTCTTAAACTAAATTAAAAAAAAAAAAATTCATTTCAATCCTTTGCTTATTACTTCAATAATTCTATGGAGTCATGCATTACTTGATAAAGAAATACTTGATGATGGATCAAAACCCTTTATTCTCCTGAAGTTATCTGGTCATCTTTTCTTTCGTTTGCAGCTGGTGGCCTAGCACTCTACCACAAAAGGCAGCCCACTTCTGCCTGGTCATGGCTGAACTGCTGCTTACGAAACAGAACTGAGTTCTGGGGATACTGCTCAGCGGCACAGGTGCCTGCCTGGCAAGCGCAAGGTCCTGAGTTTGATTCCAGGTACCAAAAAAAGAAACAGAACTGAAAGCCACCTCTGAAGAAAATGTTTTATGGTATCTCCTAAACTACACAGTGGCCCAGTGTGGCCCAAGAGAGCTGTGCTTACTACACAGGAAGTCACCAGCTGGGCACAGGGTGCACCCCATGGTGGGAGCACTGTGGGAGGCTGAGAGGAGGGCTGCACATTCAAGGCCAACATGGGCAGTTTAGTGACTTGAAGAGACCCTGTCTTGGAAGGAAGGAAGGAAAGGAGGGAGGGAGGGAAGAAGGGAGGATGGGCTGGGGATATAGCATTGTGTGAAGGCTCTGGGTTCATTCCCTAGCACTCAAACAAATAACCCAAAGTAAGTCCAAGAGACTTGAGAACTCTGACCTCAACTTGTCCCTAACTGCCTTTTAAAAATTTTTATTTTTCCTTGATGTAGAGACAGGCCTCAAGGCATTGAGTATGTGAGGCAAACATTCTACTGCTGAGCTGTACCCCAGCTCTCTGAAAACTTTTTTTGGGGGGCGTCTTTTTGAGACAGAGTCTTGCTACACAGTTCAGGCTGGCCTCGAACTCGCAACAGTCCTTCCTGCCTCTGATTCCTGAGGGCTGGGATTATAGGTGTGCTCCACCACACTGGACTCTGTAAACTTGTAAACGCCACAATCACAGTTTCCCTTTCTCTGGAACTAGATCCTTTCCTTGGTTCTGCAACAGCCACTAAAAACAAATGAGGAGAAGGCACTCTTCCTTCCTTTAGGTCTACATCTCCTGGAGCTGGTGTAGCTTCAAATGCTTAAATACTGGGCCCCTGGAGTCTACTTGTTTGGAAGCACAACCCTAGGTAAGGTAAAATTCCTGTTAAGTTTAAACACCAGCCAGAAACTGGATAATCTGTAAGTCGTGAAAGAACATGAAGAATAACAAGAGGGAAGGAATCTAAAGAGAAGTCAAGGGACGGCAGGCATTCTGTGGCCTCTGAATGTTCAGAGCTGTGCTAGCTCACTGTGCCTGGAAGGCAGTGAGGAGACTCAAGCCTGCATCCCAGTGTGTCTCAGCTCCCGAGGGGCCTGCTGTGCTTTTCCACCAGAGGACGCCGCAGCACAAAGGATGCTGCAGCACAGAGGACTGACTTGGGAGGCAGCTTCCCCACGCTGTGCACTCTGCCCGCACTTCCTGTGTGCTCCCCTCCCCCGCGAGCCTGCCACACCCGAGACAGGGAGAGGGAGGGAAAGCACGGGTAAAGAGCTGGGTACAGCCAAGTTACAGTGGCAGCAGCCAGGGACGGTCTCAAAACAGCACGCCTGCTCTGTGTGCTCCACGCCAAGGGCAAGTGCACCTCAGTTCAGCAGAGGACCCGCTGAGCACCTGACGGCTTCCGATTCTTAAGGTGTGAATTTCAAGGGCTGGAATTACCCATACAACCCTGAGAGGAGATGTCCTCACCATTCTGCTTGTTTTCTTAGCTCTGCCAACTCATGGAGCCGCCGAAGGGCTTTCTCTTGTTTCTTCTCATCCTTTCGGGACCTTGAAGAGACATTTCGGGCAAACTCTCTCTGCTTGAGATCTTTTAGCCTCTGGATAAGAAAGAAAGAACAGCAGGTGAATGAGGGGGAGTCAGGTGGGGATCCAAAGCAGAGTCTTCAGGGTCTGCACACGCACTCAATCAATGGCCACAGTACAGTGCAGGATGGATTACTACACTCTTCACGGGAACTGAGAGCGCAGTGGCTCATCATCTTGCATATACTTGCAGGGCCTGCATTTCTACTTAGGACAGCATATCATTGGCTTTATTGGGCAAAATGAAGCAACAAGCAAATTTTAGAGCTGGGAGGAAAGAAAGGGGGCTATTTAATCACTTGCTCTTCCAGGATGCAAAACTAGACAAACAAAACATGAGATAAATTGTTGTGACACAGGCCAGAGAGAACAGAAAGGGTCAAACTAGTACAGAAGTTATCCGAGATGTGAGGTCTTCAAAAGCAATGTACAGCTTACTTGGGGAGGGGACTGGGGTCATAGCCAATGGGAAGCAGACTCTGGCTCCGCTGTAACAAGTGTTACTTCTTTTCACCATGTGCAGAGGTTCCCTGCACCGACTGGACAACCCAGCGGTCTCCAGTGCCAGTGCCTCAGCACTCTGAGGCCTGGCCGCCTGCTCTGGGCCAGCCGGCTGCAGTCAGAGCACAGGGAGAGCCTTTTATTCCTTCACAGCCTGGGAACAACAGCCAGGGGACGAGGGCGAGAACCAATCAGTCAGATCTTATTATTTAGAATCCAGAAAACAGAATGGAGCTTTTATGTTCAGAAGCTACTGTATAATTTTCCTTAAAACAAAAGGAACAACAACCAAAAAAAGAACAGTGCCACGACACACTGGTGACAGAATCCAGACATATCTGCAGTAATGACAGAACTAAAATTATTTTGGCACACTACATAGTACTAAAAAAAAAACAAAAAAAAAAACATGTAGGCCTTTGCTTTTACAACAGCATTAGGAAAGGAAGCTGACCCAATATAAAGTGGACATTGCTTTGTGGAAAGGTATGATGTTCAACAGACAAAGGAATTTGCTTACCTAATATTTATGAAATGTGCTTTGAATCTTTTCGAATTGGGAAGGAGAAGGGGAGGAAGACATACACAAAAAAAGATATACAGCTAAAGACACCAGTAGAAAAACTCACTCTTGTGATCTGGGCTCCCAAATTAGAAGGATTTGCTTTCAATACATCAGCTGAAAATGTCACATCACAAAGAAAAAAAAAGTAAAAAATAAAACAAGAATGGAAGAGAAAAAAAAGTAAAGCAAGCATTACTACACACACTCTTGGAGAATCCGCACACTGTTATTGAGCACAATCAGGGACACAGTGCCAGCTCCACAGGGCAGGAGGGCAGCGGCTTTCCGGCACTTGCACGCGCCCACACACAAGCACACGGCGGTCCTGACACACGCGGCCAGCTGGCTGCTGCAAGGAAAAGTCTGCAGGAAGCAGGCTCTCGATGCTGAAAGCAGTTCGCCTTGTTTCCCTTTATCCTTATGTTGGGGCAGTTCGTAACCAACAGCTGGCAAAACCGTCCACCGAGGCAGGTGGCACATGTAAACTCTCTATAAAACCACCTCAGGATTGAGGATCAACTCTTTTAAGAAAATATGAATTTCAAGCTCCTCTTCCTAAGGGGAACAGAGCACAGAGAAAGGGACTATCAGACTCGTTATTTTGGGTTATAAGCCTAGGGTTTTTTTTTTTCCCCCCCCTGTCTTTTTGAGACAGGGTCTCGCTGTGCAGTACAGGCTGGCCTTCAGCTCACTCTGTAGCCCACGCTGGTCTCAAACTGGCAACAATCCTCCTGCCTCAGCCTCCCAAGTGCTGGGATGACAGGTGTGCGCCACCATGCCTGGCAAGTTTTTCTTTTCCCCCTTTTTGAGACAGGGTCCTGGTATGTTGCTTAAAGTGACCTCCAATTGATCATCTTCCTGTCTCAGCCTCCTGCATAGCAGCTAGGACTATAGCTGTGCACTACAAAGCCCAGCTAGTTTTCTGGCTAAAGCTTAAAACAGAATTTAATTTTAAATTAAAGTTTAAACAGTTTTTCTCAAATCTGCCATTGTTTCCACAGCTAGCTCATAAGCCTGGAATATCCAGTCATTTCCTCCCTTCTTATCAGTGTTCTATTACTTTTAGGGGGCTTTTACTGAATTCCAGATCACTGCCTTATCCGAGTCTAGAGGCTCTGGGGTAAATCAAACAGATAAGGCTTGGGGCTGGGGATTTAGCTCAGCGGCACAGCGCCTGCCCGGCAAGCGCAAGGTCGCAAGGTCGTGAGTTCGATCCCCGGTACCGGGAGAAAAACAAACAAAACAAAACAAAAAACAGATAAGGCTTCCTGATCATTCTGTAGCTGCCCAGGGCCATGCCTGAAGCAAAAGGGATCTGTGCTCACATGGCCTTGAAACCTGCCACAGGTGCGCAGGTGGAGGCAGAGACAGCAGAACATGGGACAATGTCCAAAAAACCAACCCAGACTGCAAACCCTGTGGGGCTAGGCCTCAGTCAGCACTGTGTGTAGGGGGAGCTTCCCATCACTGTCAGGAACTCAAAGAAACACAACCAGGACTCCTGCAGGTAGGTAGTTTTGGGTTCCTGGTTCTACTTCTGAGACCACAGAATCTCCCAAGCCAGCCCACACCCTCAAGACCCTCCCGTGATGATGCTGACCGCAGAAATGCTAACATGTGGTATTAAAGCTATTTTCCTGTAGCCAATTCCAAGTCTCTCTGGTTTACTGAAAAGGTTCTACTGATCCTCCTGAGCTGGGGCTGCTGTTCCTGACCGTCAGCACCGTCACCCCTGTCCTCTGGTGACTGTCACCTCATGCTAATAGCACAGTTACTCCCGCCTTTAGGAAGGTACCATATGCAGTGCTCTGGGGACAGAGAGCCCTCGGTTCACCCACTCATCAGTGAGCCCTGTAGCTGCAGTTGTCTTGATACACACGGGTATGTACCCAGATTACAAGGTGAAACATTAAGGCCAACGTAAACACCCAACAGGTCACCCTGTCTCGCACTTTGTTCCACCTGCATGGGCCAGGCACTGCAGCTCATCTTTACCATCAGCCTGCAGGCACGGAGGAGTGCTGGGTCTAGAGAAGGGATCTGGTAAATGTCTGGTAACTGGGCCCAAATACTGGCTCTTTGATTTTTTGTGGGGGCAGCTTTGATTTTCATCCAATTTTCTTACTCTTCTGGGAAAGGTTGATACGAATTATTCTCACATCTCTGTTGTTTTTTTTTCTTTTCTCCCAGTTCCAGGAATCGAACTCACGACCTTGCACTTGCCAGGCAGGCGCTTTGCCGCTGAGCTAAATCCCCAGCCCTCTCACATCTCTAATAGGAAACATTCCAACTATGTAATACAGTCTTCCAATGAGTAAACAGTAGGGGACTTTTTTGTTTAGAGAAACTAAAAGCCTGCAGTTTTAAACACCTTACTTCAGAAGACTTGGGTCTCATGACAAGAAAAACAGAGACAAGAAGCTTGATTCTCTATTACAGGTGACTTTTTAGTGGGCAGAGTGCTGTGATCAAACCCAGACTACTGCACAGGGTAAGCATGCATTCTAGCACTGAGCTCTACTACCAGCCTAAGCAGTAAATTCGGGTTGGCTGACTGCAGTACTGGAGATGGAACTCAGGATCTTTACACTGAGTTATCCTCTCGGCACCTGCTCCACCTTTTTGAGACAAGCTCTCGCTATGTAGCCCACATTGGGCTTGAACCCAGCAATTCTCCAGCCTCAGCCTCCTGAGTGCTGGGATTACAGGCATGTGCCATCACGCCTGGCTCTCTCTGTCCTTTTAAAAAAAATGTTTTTAAAACAAGGTCTCACTAAAGCTGCTAAGTTGCCCAGGCTGGGCTTCAACTTGTGATCCTCCTGCCTCTGCCTCCCAAAGTGCTGGGATTACAGATACATGCCACTATTATATTTAACATTTTGAGGAAGTGTCAAACTGCTTTTCAAAAGGACTGTGCCACTCTACTATCTCATTAGCAATATAGAATGGTTCCAATTGCTCCAAATCCTGTTACTTCTGGTGTTTTGGGGTGTTGGGGGTTGAACCTGGGGCTGTACGCATGCTGAGTATGTGTGCTACGCGTGGAGCTACGCCTAACCCTGGGCTCTTCTGACCCATCCCCATGGGTATGCAATGGCCTCACATGTGGTTTCTTGAATGTTGTGCACACCAGCTCACAGCTCTCTCCATGCCACTGTCACCCACAAAACCGTACTGCTGTATTTAAATCCCATTAACCTTCCATACTACAACAGAGCACACAGCTCAATCCTGCAATGTCCACACCACAGGGCATTGTGGTGATGAATTTGCACGTATCAGGCAAAATCCAAAAGGAAAGGGAGGAACACGAATAAGGCACATGCATCCCTGTCGGTGTTGGGATCATGTGCCATGAAGAACAGCTGGCGTGTACACCAAGAAAACGCCTGCAACGCCACTGCCACAGGTCATCGTTGTTCAAGGAGCACACAGCTTCCCTAAGTGGGCTCAGACTTTGGAAAAAATGAGACTGTGATTGGGGGGGCCTAGGCAGTCTACTTCCAAAACAACCAGGGGAGCACAAAAAATTTAGCAAACCAAAAGGTGCAAAAACATGCTCAATCCTTGGAAGAGCAACCACACGATTTCCAATTCTCTATTAAGCAAAACAGTCCCCTAGTGGCAGCCACAGTGGTACAAAGGACCACTGGCTCTAGTGTGCTGGCCTCTCCGCTACTGGGGGAGCAAACCACAGGGTGCTGGGTCCTGCGATGCAACCTCTGTGTATGCTTCCATGTGTTTCTCGAAGTGCCATCTCTTCAAAAGGGAACCCCGAGGCACATACTTCATGACCCCCTTTCTGTGGTACTGGGGGGTGAGGCCCAGCCTTTGCTATTCTTTATTCTGAGACAGGGGCTTGATAAGCCACTAAGGCTGAGCTGAAACTCATAACTCTCTGCCTCTCTTGCTGCACTTGGCATGTTTTCCATTTTTGCCAGACATCAC